GCACGTCAACACTTGGTATCTGTTATACAGCTGGTGGAGAATATTATACATCTCAAGGCCATCGTAACTCCTAAGGAGTACAATTTGGTATAGATGTAAAGTGCATTAAATCATCCTATTTTGGGGGTGCTTAACACGCATCTATTCTGTCGGTACTTATGTGAAACATCCTGTATATTTAAAATTCTAAACTTGTGCCTCATTCCTTGGATTTTCTTTTTTTCTTTTTTTTTTTTTTTCATTACATTGTTCGTTTTCTCCATATATATGTTATCTCTTGCTCTCAAAGCTTCTTTACATGTTTCTACATTGTATTTTAACTTCCTTTAATTTTTTGTAAAGAGCTTTCTCATTTTCTATGTGCCTGAATGATCTTTTTATAGATAACTTAGAAAACTGTGACGCAAGAAGTTTATCGATACATCACATTAAATTTGTAAATATTTTATAACAAAAAACAAGCTTTCATTATGATAGTAGCTACCGACGGCAAAGGATATTAAATGAAAAATATATCCATTATTAATTATTACACGAAAATCAATAACTCATTAATTTAGTAACGAATAAAATGACATTAGTGATATAGAACGTTAAGTTTTATGATCACAGAAAACATTTGTGTGCTTTTACTCCATCGTAAAGTTTTTTATTTTTTCTACTAAAGAAAAAAAAATAATAGTAACAAACCATCAAGAAAAATTATAATTTAATTGTTTTGTGTTGGTACTTTGCCACTTCCACATAATTACATTTATTATTTGTTTACAACCAACTATAATGATAATTTTTCTTGATTACTCGATAGTAGGATGCAATTTCATTTTTGTTTTAAACGCCCAGACTAATTTAATAATATTAGTCCGGAGCATAAAATCACATTTTTAAAAATTGTACGGATGCAGATTTTATGATCAATACTAGACTTTTAAATTTAAATCGTATATAGAAGAATAATCTTTAACGATGTTTTGAACAGTTTTTCTGTCTTTAGGTCCTCGCTGTGAGGGTTGGCTCGTCGAACTTGTGAACATCTAACGAAGACCTGTAATGTGCGCTGTCACCGTGGAATGCTGAAAAAATGTCTTTTTTTAGCCATCAAGATACTGACATTAAAAATTTTTGAAAAGTTTTATATTTTTGTAAAAAAGAACGTCAATAAAAGGGTGCTCAAGTATTTGGTGTTTTATTTAAAAAAAAAAACCAAAAAATTGTATACGAAATAACAAAAATTATAATGAATTTTAAAAAGAAACCGAAGGATACAAAACTGCAGTCTAACTTTTTTAGTTTTGTGGAAAGATATGAGTTTAAAATGAAAAGAAAAGGAAAATTTAAAAAATAATTTAAATGCTAAATATCTGCATATTATTGTAGTAACTCTAAAATATTCTGAAAACAATACAGATTGTGTTTGGACAGCTTATACCTTTAGGAGTTGGCGTTACAATTTAGATGTATAAAAAAGCCGCTTAGAAATTAAGGTAAGTAAATAATTCAATTAATTTATCTTTTTAATAATTTTAGATAGCATACTCTCATTTTTTTAAATTTAGTAGGCCAGGTCTCCATTTAGTTAGGTCAGACGTTATTTCGTTTTTAATAGACCAATCCCAATTTTATCATGGCAAGCCTGACAATCAATTTTTAGTAGACCATTTCTTGAACTTTTAAAACTGTGATATTTGTATCAGGATAACAGGAATGTGAGGGGGTGTGGGTTTTATTTGGGTTACCCTAAATTATACAGTAACTTGATTAAGGAACTTATCTCTCGCTATTTTTAAAATACCTCCTCGCACTTCCATTATCCTGATAGCAAAATTTGATACAGGAAATTGCAACTATTGGTACTCTGATCTTTGTATCAGGATAACAGGATAACAGTTATTTCAATATTCTAGCCGTTTTCATACCTCCTCGTTCTTCTGTTATCCTGATACCAACCAAAATTTTATCACCGAAATTGCAACTTTTGTTGCTTGGATCTTTGTATCAGAATAAGAGAGTAGGGAGGTATGGAAATTAATTTTACGTTGCCATAAATTATATAATAACTTGTTTAAGGGACTTAATTTTACCGTCATTTTTAAAATACCCCCTCGCATTTCTGTTATCCTGATACCAAAATGTAATCAACGAAATTGTAAGTTTTGGTACCCTAATCTTTGTATCAAAGTAACAGGAGAGCGAAAAGTATGGAAAATAATTTAGCGATAACATACATTATACAGTATCTTGTTTAAGGATCCTAATTTTCCTGCCATTTTTTAAAATACCTCCTCGCATTTCTGTTATCCTGATACCAAAATGTAATCAACGAAATTGTAAGTTTTGGTACACTAATCTTTGTATCAAAGTAACAGGAGAGCGAAAAAGTATGGAAAATAATTTAGCGATAACATACATTATACCGTATCTTGTTTAAGGATCCTAATTTTCCTGCCATTTTTAAAATACCTCCTCGTCATTCTGTTATCTTAATATCAAAATTTAATACCGAAATTGCAACTTTTGGTACTCTGATCTTTGTATTAGAATAACAGAAGAGTGAAAAGTATAGAAAGTAATTTTACGTTACCCTAAAGTATATAGTAACCTAATTTTTTCGCGCCTATTTTAAAAACCTCTTATACCTACTCGCTCTTCTGTTATCCTGATATAAAAATTTGGAATTTTTGCATCAAATAACAGAAGAGCGAGTGGGTATAGGATCTATTTTTAAAAAGGCAAGAAAATTATTAAATCGTTTTTTACACCAATGCCAATGGTTTATTTTTATTAGGCATACAAGGAGGTATAGGAGGTGTTTTAATAGACTTTTTTAAATCATAGAAATTATTTTTAAATGGCGAGAAAACTTTCAAATCATCGCATTTTTATTGATTTCAATATATTTGTGATCAACGGTTTTAATTGGCTTAAATATCTCTCCTCTCTTTCAAAATCATTGTGGATGTGTGATAAATAAAATTACAATTTCAATACAAAGTAACTTTATTAATTTATATAAATGACATTTAATAAATTTGTTCGCTAACTAGGATTATAATTACTTCGAACATTGTTTTATTTATTTTGTTAACATTTTTAATACAAAATATTTAATAATATTAAGATTTTTTAAATGCCATGGCTTAGAAGGTTTTTATACCGTGAATAAATGAGACCAGGTAACATTAATATTAAGGGTAGGCAAAAAATGGATTAATCGATTATTAATCGATAGTCGAATAATCGATTATTTTCAATACATCGATTATTTTCGATTAATCTCATTATTTTCGATTAATCGATTAAATTCGATTAATCGATTATTTACGATTAATCGATTAATTTGGATTAATCTATTTTCGATTAATTTCGAATACTTTATTATTTTTGATTAATCGATTAATTTCGATCATTAAATTATTTTCGATTATTCGGGTATTTTTGAGTTTACGATTATTTTCGAATAATCGATTATTTTTGATTAATCAATTATTTTTATTTAATTGATTATTTTGTTTAATCTTATTTCGATTATTAATTTTTTCAGTTTGTTGACGTATTTTTTGAAAAACTGATAAGTGATTATCTTCTATTACTTAATTATTTACAAATAATCGATTAATTCAATTAATCGATTATCTTAATTAATCGATTATTTCGATAAATCGATTAATCGATTATTTTCAGTCAATCGATTAATTTGATTAATCAAATATTTTGATTATTATTTTTTCAATTTGTCGATTTATTTTTTGAAAAAGCGATTATAGATTATTATCTATTACTATAGTTATTTTCACATAATCGATTATTTAGATTAATTAATTATTTCGATTAATCGATTATTTCGAATAATTGATTATTTTTATAATTCGATTATTTCGATAATACGATTATTTCGATTAATCTATTGTTTCGATTCATCATTAATTGATTAATCAAAAATAATCGATTATTTTTTATTAAGCTATTATTTTTATTTAATCGATTATATCGATTATTATTTTTTTCAATTTGTCGATTTATTTTTTGAAAAACTGATAATCGATTATTTTCTATTACTATTTAGAATAATATATTATTTCGATTTATCAATTATTTAGATTAATCGATTGTTTCGATTCCTCAATTATTTTCATTTAATCAAATATTTTGAATAATCGATTATTCATTTTTTAATTTGTCGATTTATTTTTAGAAAAACCGATAATAGATTATTTTCTATTATTTAGATTATTTCGATTGATCGATTATTTTTAATTAATCGATTAATAGATTAATCAGAAATAATCAAATAATTTGATGATCGATAAGAGATTATTTTTGATTTTTTAAATGGACCCCCTCGTATATTTTCTGTTTTTTAGAATATTTTTTTATAACATGACAGTGTTGCCACATTTTCATTTCTCCCAAACAATAATTTTAAAAAAAATTTTTAGGTAGAAGGCAAAAATTACCCTAGTAGATGCCATAAAACAGTTATGTATTTGTAAAAAAACGTACGTATTAGAAATTTATTTTTTGGATGAAGGATTTATTTTTAATTCAAGTCGAGGATACTAAAACATTTTTTTTTGAGTTCATGGGAACCTTAAAAAATTGGAAAAAATTAATATGTAATTTGAACCGTAGATTCGAAAAAACATAATATATAGGGTGATCCATTTAAAATATCAAACTGGAAGTCATTCTATTCGAAATTGTGTCTAATATGTTTGTCCCAAATTTGATCCAATTCCCTTTATAAACAAAAGAAATATTAATGTGGTGCTGATCCCTTTGTATTTCCATAAAAAAACACGGTTCTATACAGCCATAAGGTGGAATTCAATAAACAATATTTTCAAATATAATTTTTGTGACATATCAATATTAAAAGAGATATGAGCTCTTAAACTATTTAGTATTGATAAGTCTGATTGACAATGAAATTAAACCACTTTAAAGATATGGATAAAGGAAACAAAAAAATCTAGTAAATGAAAGTAAACTGATGATATAGGTATTTTTTAAACGGTAACAGTTAAAAAGTTGGTTAAATGAGACAAACGTTGCGCATTTTGTACTCATTAAAATGGTGCTAAGAAACCTTTTGTATTTACAGGGAGATTTAAAATATCGGACAAAAATAAAAAAATTGACAATTCTTTAAATTCATTCATTTTTTGTTCGATGTTTTGTATATCCCTGTAGAGATGTCAAAAGTATCTTGGCACCATTTTAATGAGTACAAAATGTGCAACGTTTGTCTAATTCAACCAACTTTCTATCTCTTACCGTTTACAAAATAGCAATACTCTTTCTAATAGTAGGAACCCTGTATAATAAGAGGAATAGTATCGATACTAGTAAGAATCAACTTTTAAATTACCAAAGTCAATTAAATTTAACAGTAATAGTAATTTAAGTTAAACAGTACAATTTCTAAAAACTAATAGAAGAATTATTTGAACAAATTATACTTATATTAATCGATTTGTCCGTCTCAAGTCCTCTTGCCGTGAAGTTGGCTCATCGAACTCGCTGTACTGGGCGGTTTGTGTACTGACGGCATGTTGAGTTTCCGATTCTGATGTCCCATCACGTTCGGCGACGGTCTGTAATATCCGGTGGCGCCGTGTAAATGCTGAAAAAGAAATATTTTGTTATCAATCTGACAAAAACGACTACTCGAAAAATTGTTTATGTAATTCTGATTATTATACAATTATTTAAACAAGTAAGAAATTTCCTTAAGTGGCATGCTGATGTCAGACCTCCTAAGTTAAATACAGACAAATCAAAAGCCAATATCTTCTTATCTAGAAGCTATTAACTGTTCAGACAAAGAAGAGTGGAAGAAAGCCGTGGATAAGGAAATTACGTCTTTAAAAGAAAATGATACTTGGTCACTGGAAGAAATTCCTGTAGGAGTAAAACCACTTCCAAGTAAATGGGTCTCTAAAGTAAAAACGAATCCAGATGGCTCTATTGATAAGTACAAAACTAGTAATTAAAGAATTTACCCAAAAGAAAGGATTAGACTACAATCAAATATTTAGTCCAGTAGCTAGAACTGGAACTATAAGACTTATACTGAGCATTGCAGCAAATTAAAAGTTAACACTACGTCAATTTGATGTGTCAACTGCCTTTCTTTATGGTGTACTTGAAGAGACTATATTCATATATCAGCCTGAAGTGATGAATCTGACGAATATTGTAAGTTGCAAAGAAGTTTATATGGACTAAAACAAGCGCCTCGTTGCTGGAACCAACGAATCGTAAGCTTTTTAGAATGCTACCGATTAGTAAGAAGTGAAGCAGATCCCTGCCTTTTTATTAAAATACGTGGTTCAATAAAGCTGTTACTTGCACTTTATGTTGACGATGGTGTTATTGTCTTCAGATTTTATTGAAAAACTTGAGTCCGAATTTAAAATCACATTGAAGCCTGCTACTTATTTTTCGGGAATTGAGATCAAGAAAATGAAGGACAGCTCAAATAAAATACACCAAAAGGCATAGACAGAGAAAATTTTTGAAATAATATGGACAATTTTAGACCAGTTTTAACATCTACTATCAAAGATTGTTCTGTCAGGGAAAGTTGAAGACGAAACTGAGCCTTCTTTGGAGTTTCCCTACAGACAATATATAGGTTCACTTATATACCTAATGGTAGCCAGAAGATCAAACATAGCATATGCACTAGGTGTTGTCTCAAGATCGCTAGAACATCCTTCAAAAGAAGATGTAATAAAGGAAAAACGAATTACATACAAATCAAACTATCAACAAGGCGTTCTGGAAAGCTACAGTAATGCTGACCATGGAGGCGATACATCTACTGGACGATCAACATTGGATGTTGTTTGCATTTAGCAGGTGAGGTGAGCTGGTTGAGTCAAAAACAAACTTCAGTAGCTATATCGACTACAGAATCTGAAATTATAGCTACCAGTGAAGCAGCAAAGAAATTGTTTGGCTCAAACGTCTTTTGATGGAAGTTACCCAGTTGAAGGTTATTCTCGAACTTCAAATTAACAACGAAGCTGCTGTGAAGTTAGCTCAAAATCCCGAATTCCATAGGCGTACTTAACATATTAGGACACGACATTTTTTTATTAGAGAATTGGTATCAGATGGAGAAATTATTGTCAAGAAGGTATTGCCTAAACTCCAATTAGCCGATATGATGACTAAATCAATCCCAAAGCCTAGATTACACAATCTCTGCCAAGAGATAGGACTAAGTGACTAACAGAAAACTATTTAATGAGGGGACGTTGAAAATAGTTACATTATCATGTTTTCTCTTTGCTTTAGCACTTATATATTTATGATATACTCTTGTTACCTATTGAAAAAAAAATTGTCATTATTTTGTACATTGAATGTCAGCAACCTTTTAAAATAAAGAAGCTCATTTAAATTTGTATTCATTGAGTATTCGTATTCAACAAAAACATTTGCAGAGTACCTTCTTACACCTCTGTATTTTTGTGACGTATTACTTACACTCCTTGTCAACAAGAAGACGTCACCGAAGGAGATTACAAACCGTGTGTCCCCAACTTCCTTAGTTTTTTAAATTTTACAAACCAATTTCAAAAATTTAACTAATTAATATAATTTTGACAAATAAAAAAATCCATGACTCACAATTTTGCTTCGCAGAACTATTTATTTCAATATTATATGGATTAATGACTTTAAAGCTAGCATGAATTTTTTAAACAATACTTCAAAATGTACTATATAGAATTGCTGAAAATTTACTTATTTCACCTTGGAAGTGGCACTGTGAAACATTAGCACAGTCTGAACAAAATACAAGGCTGACAACGACAGTAATAGAGACCACAGACTTCAATGTGAAAAAAACAATGCGAAAAATCTATCATATAATTTAGTAACCGCACCTAACCAAAAATTACAGTCATAAGTAGAAATAAACGCATTTTGTCAACCCATATTTAAAACAGCGACGTATCTAAAAAGAATAATAGCCCATTGATTTCACATTTACAGGTACATCCATTAAACTGATGGCTATATTAATGGATTGTGTTTTCCAAATTAGACACTGAGCTTTATTGAAAAACATAATAGCAGCTGTGATAATCATCAACCAAGGTTTAATTTACTAATCTTTATAGGTAAACTCTATGTATATCGATTATTATTACTCACAATATGCCGAATGAAATTAAACTTGCCAGTATAGTTGATTCTATAAATATAGTTAATTAATTGACACGTCTCCGTTTATTTTTTACGCAATGTACAGGTTTGTATTTAGAGAATAATTCATTTAGATATTTCAACACTTTTTTTTTGTTTTAAATAGACTTGGTAATTTTTTGATGAAACAGAAGAAGTAGTTTTTGTTAATGTCTACATATATTATGGTGTAAGTATTTGTTATATTTGTTTGTTATATCTATGTATGTTATATCTATAAACTAGTTATAAAAAAAGCATTCTAAAAAACTGTAAACTTATAAGTTAATTTAATTCAAATGAATATGTTGATTTAATTTATTGAAAATTTAAGAAAAATTCTGTTATGTTTTATGAGTCAAAATACATCTTTTCGCCAGAAATATCGCCTGTTGGTTTTTGCTATAGTATTACTCTATTTTGACGCTACTGCATGCAAGCACTTAGAACATGTTAAAAAATCTATAATAATCATAGATGCATACAATAAAAACGTTGAACTTTCAATAATAATGTAAATTATTGATTTTAAAACCGAAAAAGGTTTATTTTTATTTGTTTTCTTTTCGCACTGGTGATATAATGAATTTTTCGAAACCAGTTTCATAATGTTTAACATTATTTCTTAAGCAGTCGTGACCAACTTCTTTCTGATCAGAATTCCTCGTCCAACCTCTTTATCATGGTTCCAATGTTCCATCATGACAGGTGTTCCTTCATAGTTTCTTGAAGTATAAAGGTTTCACTTCTGTCAGGTACCACTGTATCCTCCTGAATAGCAACTAGCACGGTACTATCCCCATATGGATGTAAAAATACTTCTTCGGCCCCAACTTTGACCACTCTATTCTTTAAATCCAACTGGAAGCCATGTTAGTTCATTCATTCATATTCTTTGATATCAGCGACAATAACAGTATGAGCGAACTTTTCAGTACCAATTTCGAATTAAATGGTCTTTGGAACAGTTTCGAGTCGAAGTTGCCCCCTCTATGCGAGTGGGTCGAGTTTATCTTCCTTTTCTTCCTCTTTTATAGTCCTCACTTTTCTGTATCCACCAGAAGCATGCATAGCTGCCTCATACTCTAAAGCAGCGGACAAGACATCACCAATGTTTTGTGCCAAACATTCCATCATGTTTTCTGGAGATGATGGGTACGCAAATCGCACCAACCTGGCAATATTTACTTCATATTGTTGAAGGGTCTGGTGTGGTTTGTTTGCAATTCTTTACCTATGATTGGTCTAAATGCACCAAGTGTTTGTAGCCATATAGCATGTTTAGTCTCTTTTTAAGTTGTTTAAAGTCATCTGTCTCTTCAACTACTACTTTTTCTCTTTCAGATCATCAGTTGGCTCTGGCAGCTGTTTCGAATTGTTTAAGGTAATTGGTCCATGACCTCTTGCTGTCGAAAGTTGGAGCAGAGTCCTTCCAATGCCAACTTTGATTTCACATCATGATAGTGAAATCACTATCCTTAAACTGTTTGATATGTTCCAGTTCTTCTTTTTCATCTCTTTTATTTTCTCCTCAACAGAAGAAATTTCATTTCTTATAGTAGATATATTAGAGGAGACTTTAATTTCCATTGAAGACATTTCAAGAGACACATTTTCTTCTAAGGAAAAAATATCAGAAGAAACTTTACTGTCTAAAGAAGAAACTTTATCATCCAATGAACATATATCGGAAACAATTTTAGTTTCTAAGGAGGAAATATAATTTTTTATAGAAGAAACATTAGAAGAAATATTATTTTGTTAGTTTCTAAAGAGAAAATTTTTTTACAGAAGATATTTCGGTTTTCATATTGGAAAAGATTGAAGAAATTATAGAAGAAGCATCATCCGAAAATAGATACGTTTCCGGATCCAAATAGTCACTTTCTAATGCTTTTTTAAGTCGCTCTGTCAGCTCTGCTTTCTTTCCTGTCATCTCCAACTCACGATCGTCTTATTTCCGACGTAATTCCGTCACTTTTAAATCACTTAGTTTTGTCCACTAATTATTTACAATCCCACTTCTTACACCAATGTAACCATTGTTTAATTTAAAAATAGTTTATTAAAATTTATTTAAAACTATTATAACTCACAATTCTAATTATTTTATTACAATTTATGTTTACTATACAACACATATCGAAAAATTAACGTCTACCGACAAACTCGCGCTATTTATATAAAGCCAGCTCTGCACTAGTACATTCTCGACGGTCTAGAATCTCCAGAATTTTTTCCAATATGACTCAGCCGACGCGCACCGATTTCTCTGGTAGCTTCTGTTCTGCGAACAAAGCGACAGCTGTAACGGCAAAGATATCAGGGTCGACTCAAGGTGATTGATTACACGCCATTATATTCAATAAAACATAGAATATATATAGTATTCAATCAATAGTAAACAAAGTATATATCTAA